AATAGACCTGCTATAGATTTCAATTTATGTTTATATTTTTTATTTACGTGTGTTTCTATAGAAGGATAGTGTTACTAACATATTGCTTAAACATTTTTATCATACCTAATGTCTTTATAAATATTGAATGAGAAAACCGATTGTGTTTTTATGGTTATCCCTTCTATATCTAATCATACTTTTTGCATTTCCTGACGTTTTTCTCTTCACTTAGTCCTGAAAAGGACGCTTATTTATCACGTTTATCTTTGTAAGTTGATTGCTGAAGTCCAATACGTTGTTTAAAATCTCTGTCGAGAACTTACTGATTGAAACTAACGACATATAGCAGTTATTTCGGTTTTTATATGAAAGCTATTTTGCAACAACTAAATATAATAAGTGAAGGATTTACTGTTTAACCAATCACTTTACCATTATAAAAACTATTTAAGATAGTACTATACTTGAAGTACTATACAATTAAAATTCATGAAACTTTGTTGTTTTTACTTTCATTTTCAATAGATATTGAGATAAACCTCTGTCTGACGTCAAGACCATTGTTTGTTAGGAAATACAAAGGTCTTCACGTGGTCACTCATATAAATTATGTTGGCTATTTCAATGAATTACTAGCACATACCAGCTGATGATAAGATTAGAAAGTTTGACCTTGTATCGCGTAAATTAAAAAAACATGTAATGCTTTCGCTTTTACAAGTCAGAACTTTTAATTCTGTATCATTCAAAATTTCACTTTATTTACATTTGAAACTTTTTAGTTTTCCCAATACATTTTTCACAAATGAACATAATCATAAAATGATCTTTAGTTATAAATCAAGTGATAATTTTAATGATATTTTCGTCAAGTGGATTTTGAAATTGTTACAATACATTTCACATTATAGAAAGGTCATAAGTTACAAATCGGTATTCTTATATAAAACTCATGTTTCGTTCATAGTTCAGTATGCTATCATTTAAGTAAAATTAACAAGTACCATACATACTTAACAAAACTTTAAATACTATTTACCTAAACATCTCAGTTTATAAATTTCTGTTTTAGCTTTCATACAGATTACACCAATATAACTATTTGTTCATTCCAACTCAGTATGTAAGATTTTATATAGTTTATAAATGATAAAGAACAATTCTTGTATTTCAATTATGCCTTACAACAATCGGTGAAAAGTTCAATCAGGGCCAGTCTGCTCAGAATAACTTTTCAAAATGAAAAATTGATTCAATTTTAGTATCTACATAAACATGTGAAATGTACGAGATTTCATTATGCAATACAACGAATTATATTTGTATTTACTCGAATGATGTCTATATGTAATTGTATGTAAAGTTATTACTGGTTTAGTAAATTTAAAAAGTTCTCAACACAACATTTCTATTAGGGGTGTATTTCTAAGAAAACGTTTTACAACAAAATCATGAACAAACATATCAATGACATCTTTGTGGGACCCAAGTTTAGATAACAGTTGTCGACAACGATAATAAGTATAATATATACAATATTTTCCACACACACACAGACGAATTTGGTCGTTGTTAGCCCATATTCGACAGTTCTTCTTGATGAATTTTCTTATATTGAGGTTGGTGTTCAACAGACTTCAACTTACATTTAATTGCATGCATTTTACAAAGGTTGGTATGCGAATGGTCTTATTAACTTTCTATATATATATGCATTGCATTATTTAGCGGCAACTCATTTTTTAACATGCCATCAATGACCTGTCAAATGTGGGCTAACAACGACCAAATTCGTCTGTGTGTGGAAGATATTGTATATATATTATGCTTATTATCGTTGTCGACATGTGTTGAAACGAAAACTGTTATCTAAATTTGGGTCCCACAAAGATGCCAATGATACGTTTGTTCATAATTTTATTGTAAAACGTTTTCATGGAAATACATCCCTAATAAATATGTCTTTTTATATAGATCAGATTTCAAAACCTTTATTGTGAAAATAATAAAGTTTTAAAAACAAATGTTATGTTGAGAACTTTTTATTTTACTAAACCCGTGATAGTTTTACATATAATTAAATATAGACGTCATTCGAGTATAGACATACTGAGTTCGAATGAACAAATAGTTATATTGGTGTAATCTGTATGAAAGCTAAAACAGAAATTTATAAACTAAGATGTTTAGGTAAATAGTATTTAAATTTTTGTTAAGTATGTATGGTACTTGTTAATTTTGCTTACATGATAATATATTGGTCTATAAGGAAACGTGAGTTTTATATAAGAACACTGATTAGTAACTTATGATCTTTTTATAAAGTGAAAGATATTGTAATAATTTCAAAAACCACGTGACGAAAATATCATTAAAATGATCACTTGATTTATAACTAAAGGTTTTTTATGATTATGTTCATTTGTAAAAAAATGTATAGGGAAAACTAATAAGTTTAAAATGTAAATAAAGTGAATTTTTGAATGATACAGAATTAAAATTTATGGTTTGCAGAAATGAAAGCTTACATGTTTTTAGTCTCAGGCGATCCAAGGTCAAAACTTTCTTACCTTGTCATCAGCTGGTATGCATAAGTAATATATTGAAATAGCCCACACAGAGTGACCAATTGAAGACCTTTGTATTTCCTAATAAACAGTGGCCTTGACGTCAGACAGAGATGTATCTCAATATTAATTGAAGATGAAAGTAAAAATCACAAATTTTATTAATATTAAATGTATAGTACTTCAAGTGCATGGTAAATATTGCTATTTTAAATAGTTTCTATAATAGTAAAGCGATTGGTTAAACAGTAAATCATGCATTTATTATATTTAATTGTAGCAAAATGACTTTCATATACAAACCGAAATAACTGCTATATGTTGTTGGTTTCAGTCAGCAAAGATTTTAAACAACTTATTGAACTTCACCAATCAACTTTTATAGCTAAACGTGACAAGTAAGCGTCCTTTTCAGGACTTAGTGAAGCGATAAACGTCAGGAAATACGAAAAGTATGATTAGATATAGAAGGGAGAACTATAATCGGTACTTTAGACCATAAAAACACAGTCAGTTTTTCTCATTCAATATTTATAAAGACACTAGGTATGATAAAAACGTTTAAGCAATATGCTAGTAGCACTATCCTTCTATAAAAAGCACATGTAAATGAAAAATATAAGCATACATTGAAATCTGTAGCAGGTTTATTGGAAGTATAGAAATGCCATTGCAAGACACACTCAATACACCTAGTAAGACCTTTGTAAAACACATGTAAATGAAAACTATAATATTTTGTCAGGTACACTTTTATTATGATAAATCTATAATATATTTACATTGGATAGAAACACTGTCAGCCTTTGTAAGTGAAAACTGTCATAATTAAATATAGACGTTTGAAATCAAATTGCCCTTAGTAACACAATGCATATATAGAATATTAATAATAGCATCTGTCTTTTAATGACACATGCAATATACCTAGTAAGACCATGCACCTAAAGAAACACATCCACAATTGCAAAACGTAAATCTATACGCAATCTTATGGGTCTTTATAAAGCATACATAATTCACCTAGTAACGTCTATAGGATCCTTAGTAAGAACATCCGCCTTTAGTGTAGAATATATAGAACCTAAATATCAGCTTCCTCCTATAAACCTAAATATCAGCATCCTCCTATAAACCGTAGTAACACTGTCTGTCTATAGTAACAGGCTCTCTGTGTAAAACATTAGTAAAACTATCCGCCTATAGAACATTAGTAGCACTGTCCGTCTATAGTAGCAGGCCCTCTGGTATCGAATTATGATATCACCCCTCCCTAAGACACTAGTATCCTCTGGTTCCACTTCTCGGAACGATGGCGTCATACCTAACAATGCTCTCTCTGTCTTCTGCCTGTCCTAGCAATGCGTCCTCTGATGACACTTCGTGGAACTATAACATCATCGTCTCTGGTGTCTATGACATCGTCGTCTCTACCACTTCCCCCTGATGCAACCAATCAGCGTGCAAAGTCTAGGGTATCCGGATAACTAGTGATTATGATAAAATTCTCTGATGCCTTTAGTAGTTTTTAGTTTACAAAATTTTCCGATTGATTTTTCTAATTCTGCAACGTAATCAAAGTTTACAGTTGTGGGAAATGAATATTCTATTTCCCTCAAATAAAAATAAAATCCCGTTTCTGTTGGGGATTCGAACCTCAAGTATTTCAGTCATTTAAACATCCGTAACAATTCAGCCACATTTAAATGTGATAAACCCCTAAGGTTGGACTCATAATAATGTATTATGACTTCCTGTGGTGCTGATACCATCTGTTGTACGTAGAAATCTAATATACTATACATTTGTGAAAGTAATTTGATATAGTCATTAAAATAGTTTCCACATTAAATAATGGCCAGCACAACACATTGAAATCATTAAAATCGTTTAAATTGTACTGCTATAGTTCACCTCTTTTACACTGCCTAACACTAACACAAATTAAAAACATATGAGCATCAACCTTGTTCTGAGAGTCGCCTATCGAAATGGGTCTATGAATATCGATACGGTTATTGATTTTGGCTCCTAAAACATTGTATATCTCTGTATAGCTCCCTCAGTCTCGGATTTCCACTTATATATGAAATATAAACCCCTTGATATTATTATTAGGTGTTAGTAAGGCTAATCGATAGGTGATACTATTGTATTAACATGATATTTACTAATATATCCAGGGTGTTGACTTCTGAATAAAGGGTGTTAACTTACATTGTTCTTGTATCCATCATCTGTTTTCTTCAGTAATCGATCAAAAGGAAGGCGAGATACTTCCTTACATGCACTTTTTTGTTAATAGCAAACATCATTATATGAGTTGTGATAAATGTGTATATAACGTAGAAAAATTTCCCGGCTTCTATTAATTCAATTAGTTTGATGATACACATAGCCCACTTTTTTACTCCGTGCGTAAGCTAATTCACAGCAACATTTAGTCAGAAATATTGTGTAGAATATTTATTTCAATGAATTTCACAGAACAAGAAAACGATCAGATGTTAACCTTGAAAAAGCGTACTGTACTATATTGATATTACACCAAACATTGCAATACACAGACAACACTATATTATATATAGTGGTAGTTTTGATTGCCACGAAATTGTGAGAATTAATTTTGGTACATGTCGGAAGATTTTTACTGTGTATGATTCATGATGATAAGAACAATAAAATTTGTCTAAAACTATATAGATGCGAATAAATATTAGTTTTTTATACGGGAAACATTACATTTATTGAAGTTCATATAAGTTTAATAAATAAATATCACAGATGCACTACAGAAAAGTGCACCATTTAGACTTTCGTAACAACATCACAATATGATACTCATTTTCACAATACAACATCAAAATACCAATTACTGTTTATAGAAAAAATAATATTTTCTTTTAGATTTATATATGTAAAAACCATTTAAAACAGAGTGGATAATATACTGAAAAATGCACGATTCAATGATTGAAATTATCATGTTTGTAGTTTTTACTTTTGTAAACTATGGTTCATGCTGTTAGAGGACACACTTGTGATGCCAGAGTAGAGAAAAAAGTGGCATTTAGTTTTATAACGTCAAATTTGTTCTACAAGTAGTTGCCAAAATTCACAGTCACGCTACCAATGACATCGAATTATTACAGTATTTCGACTACAACAAATCTTTGATAGTAAATTAGTATTATAAGTCAAATTACAAAGAATATACTTTAATTATCGTAACTTTTATTTAATTGATTCAGAGTATTAAGCCATGTTATTATCATACATATATATATTAACAATTTAAAAAAACTGGTGTTATCAGAATATGTACGTCATTGATCACAAGATGCACTTCTCCTCAAGTCTATGCTTGTGTCACATTACTTCCATGTTCCGATCTTTGAACTCAATGAACAACAACAGTCTTCCATCGTTCATCGTGCCTGTCTGGAATATAACTCACAGTTGCAGCATCATTTATAATTTGACTTTCAATATGAAATCTTGAACTCTATGATTTTCATGCTGAAAATAGATTATAACTAGTTTTTATATTGAGAATGTAACACAATGGCTAGACGGTGAGAGCATATTGCGTGGGTTGTATGCTGAAATTTCGTTATCGGTGGTTTTATGTTGAACTAATGCTATACAATGTTTGTATTGTGTAAGTTTCATCAGACAGCATTTGCCTGACTCAGTTTTGTTATATAATTGTTATACTGTGTAGATTTTGTTCCGAAAAAATTTCTCTGTGCTTATGTTGTTAAATTATGTTTCTTTTCATTGCATTTTATTAGATGTTGATTGTGTTAGCGTTTTGTTCTGGATGGGTATTCTTAGCGTTTATTCTGTGTGGGTTGTATCAGCTAGTTTTTGTTCTGTGTAGATCATGCTAGTGTTTACTACGTATAGGTCATGTCAGGTGTCTGCTCTGTGTAGATTATGTTAAATGCTGTTTGCTTTGTGTGGGTTACGATAGCGTCAGCTCATTGTAGATTGCTGTATATGTGGATTAAGTTAGTATTTGTTCTGTTTGGATTATGTTAGTGTTTCTTCTTTGCGTTTTATATCAGACAGTATTTGCTCTGTGTGGGTATGTTAAGTAATGTTTACTTTCTGCAGACTGCGATAATGTATATTTCACTTGCATTTTGTTGTTTTTCTTAGTGCAAGCTACATAATGGGCTATCTGCATTCTGTCCACCCCGGGGAATCTGACCTCGGATTGTTGCGTTGTAAGTCAGTAAACTTACTGCTGACCCACCAAGGGACAATCACTTGGAATAATAGTTCATGTAAACTGAATCGAAGATCATTACACGTAAAATACCCGTTTATTCAATGGATATATATATGTCTCCGAAAATGTTCAATTTACAGATAAAAAATATTGTGTGAAGAATGTTAAAAGGCTAGGCAGATAGTCGGCTTACACAAAATAGGTTTTAACAAAATTGAAAGCTGTTTTGCTTAATACAAAACCTAAGGTTAGGCATCTAATTCAGTGCCGTTCAAAAAACTCACTTCTTACATAGGTTTTGTTATCTTCAAACCAAATATATACCATTTTTACTTTTCCCTCCTTCAAGCCCCCATCTTCTTCATTTAGTCAAGAAACTGATACAGCTTTGTTGGATAACATCTAGAAAGTGACTATCATTTTAAAACTGAGAACTATTGCCCATAATTGACACTGCCTTGTTTCATAACATTGAGAAAGTGTTTTAAAACTGAGTGATATTGATATGATTAACATTGTTTTGTTATATAATATCAACAAAGTGACAAGTGCTTTCAAACTGAATGCTATTGCTCCTGATTGACACTGCTTTGTTTCATAACATCAATAACGTGACTACTGTTTTCAGACTGAGAATTATTGCCCATGATGCTTGAAATGCTGGACCTACTACTGCTATTAGAATTCGAGTGGTGCACATTCAGTTCGATCTCTTTAATTTTCCTCTTGTGTTTATTAATGTCTTTTGGTCGTTTTGGAGCGAATGGAAACGTCCAATTTTCGTTTCGTTTATTCGTTTGATGGTTGTAGGTTGAGGCCAGTGTGGGTGAAAGGAAATGTTTAGAATCGCACTGAGAGTTTACTTTGTTCTCGATATCGGTCAAAAGCGGAGTTGACAGTAGGAGATTCGACGCTAATTCATCAATGTTAATCTCTGCTGATGCGGTGCATGAAGAGTTACAAGTGTCACTTCCTTGGTTTGGAATATTGTCAGTTTCAGATACATCTACTTTCTTCCTACCCATGGCCTTAAAAATATTTTCGCTTTTAAATCTGTAAAAGAAGAAAGTAATTAATGCTTTGGTGAAGAACATTTATGCTTCTAATCAACACTATGACACTTATCGTCTTTGAAGAATGTGTTTGTCATTAGGCTTTGTAAAGATATAAGTAATAGCATTGAAGAAAAAATCCCGGTTTTCAAATGACAGATTGAAAGAGCTTCAGACTAGAAAACATCACGTCGCCATTTTATAATAGCAAGCCCTGTGATTAATATCATTATATCAATGTAAAAACTTTAGTTGGTTAAATTAATTAACTTAGAGATAAATCTGTAAATTTGTTAATTATATGTATTATACAGAAGCATACTGACTTGTGTTTATCTCCCAGTGCATGTTTCAAGAGTTAGTTTGCCACTATTATCACAAGCAGCTGTCTTTTGGCAAATACCACAGAAGCGGTGAAATTGGTCTTTTGGCATTGGTTTATATCAACATGAAACTCATGACCATTATTGTCGACGCAAGTTAACCATTGGTACTGGAATGGTATTTTTCTACATTACCCTGAAGATATAAATCTTGTTAAAGAAGCTGTCTCAGGCAACACTGCCACAGATACCTAAATTGTACAAACAATGCGACACCAAGTGCTTGTATGTTAGATCAGCATAAAATTAATAATTTCTATTTGAACAGCCAGTGTCTAACTATTTCAGGACATTACTGACAGAGAGATGCACACACTCCCACACATGAAAATCAAACACTGTGCAGCTAACGTTTATACAAACAGCATCCATAACAAGAAGTGCAATTTAGTAAACGCTGGTGCACATGCTTCAACTTGAAATCTCAAAATGTATTGAGCTCAAAGAGCATTTGATCACATCTCGGTTATTCTTCTAAAATTCTCTAAAATCAATTACCAGAAAGCAGAAAAGACAATATGCTCATCTTGTTAAAGGAAATACGGGCCTCTGATGCCACCAAGAAACTATAACTTGTGCAAACCATCATATTCTGAAACATCTTGCTGTCTTAAGTTAATAATGGGGCAGCTAGACTACAGTCACAAAACAGCTATACGTGTTTTTGCGACAAGTTTTGTATTTCCTGTTGAGCTAAACCAAAAATGCAGTTAAAAAGTAGGAAAGTAGGGCCCACTGGGAGGCCTAAAAAAAAAAGAGAAACGTTTCGGGTGCTGCACGCTATAAAACAGAATGAAAAATATTTTTTTACTCGATTTTTTAGAATTATAATATGTATTTTCTCAAGAGCAATAACACGTTTATGAAGCGTTGAGTTTTGGAAGATATGAAGACAGATATTAGGTGAGAGAAAGTTTATATTTAAGTTCACGTTTTTATGACAGAAATAAGATATTTAAATATCTGTTATTGTTAAAAATAAGATGAAGTAAACAGAGAAAATATTTTCCTTGCAATATAAATTAATTTCAAGAAACTAATTGAAAATCTGCTGAAGAAAATAATGATAGGAAAACATGATATTGACTTTCTAAGTATAGTTACTAGTTACTATGGCGACGTTTCATTTTCTTTTTGAACATTTGCTACATTGTCCAGAAGAAGCTTAAATCTGTCAAGCTTTTCTACCAGAAGAAGATGCAAAAAAAAACATCCTTGTATGTTTAAACTTCACTTTCAAGATTTATCTTGTGCTTCCATAAGAAAAAGGCTTAGGATTAAATGAAATTTTCTCTTATGTTAATAGCATCACCTGAGCTTCAAACTGTTTTTGTAAATATAAGGATATAAACCGTTTATACTGCGCAGCAATTAGTTGATTATATTTACATGCATCATTGTTTTTGAGAGAATGCAGGAATAAAATTATATATTGACAGTCGTTACTTTATAAAATGTGAAACTTTCTGGTGTGTTTTATTTATGTTTTACTTTATTTCTTAATTTCAATAAATTAAAGTGAGAACTAACTTACCCGTGGTTTTCCCCACTGCTGCAATAGTAAAGAAAGGATTCCAATTAATCACTCCTTAAATAACGATCAGAATATTAGAAGTATATCCACATGATTACAGCAAACTGTGAATAAAACCATTGTGTGTTGATTCAACACATTCAGTCACACATCAAATGATATATCAGATTATTACCTCCGCCACCGAAAATGGACGGAGGTTATGTTTTCACCCCTGCGTGTGTTTCTTTGTGTGTTTATCAGCAAGATTTATCGAAAACGACTGAATGGATTTGGACGAAAGTTGGTATACATGTGGGCTATGACCCAACTTAGAAGTTATTAGTTATTGGAAGGTCAAGGTCACAGCAAGGACACGAATATCTCAAAAATCCCTATCTGTTAACACGGTGGATATATGTAGAATATTATTCTTCACTGTCCTGCCAAAAATGGTCCATGTCAGTTGATAACGACGGACATGCGGACATATTTTCGTATTTTCTGAGAGCAGAATATGATCAACACTGCGTGGCGGAGGTATACTCTATACTGAGTGCCCCTCTACTTTGATTAGATGTTTGACTTTCTCAAGGCCTTCATAGAACACGCGTATTAAATTGTTTAGTGTAAAAAAATAAGATTATTTACATTCATGCGAAAATGTTTTTTTTTAAGTTGGACAAAATGATCTGAAAAACTCAAACTCAAGATTGGACTAATGGGAATAGACAACATTTAGTCTAGGTAAAGCAGTTTGGATAAAAATATTCTATAATGCTAAATAAAAATATATGTTTTTCTAGAAATAACATAGCATTATCACTGTAAAGAAATGACTATCCAGTTTATCAGTTTTCATTTCTTTGTTCATTCGTCTTCAGCGAGGAACATTATGAATTCTGTCATGATAGCAGACGGCCCTGCATGGCCAGGTGGTTAGGGCGTTTGACTCGCAATCTGGGGGTTGTGGGTTCGAATCTCCGTCCCACCAAAAATGCTCGCCCTTTCAGTCGTGGGGGCGTCATAACGTGACGGTCAATCCCACTATTCGTTGGTAAAAGAGTAGCCCAAGAGTTGGCGGTGGGTAGCCTTTCACTGCTAATTTAGGGACGGCTAGTGCAGATAGCCCTCGTGTAGCTTTGCGCGAAATTCAAACCAAACCATGATCAAATTAAGGTCATCGTATTCCTCTTGCATTTCTGTCATTTTCAAATGGAATTAGACGAGATATTTTTGTAGCTCATGTATCGTAATTTTCTTAAACATATTTTGACTACACTCAAGTTATTACTGCTAATGTTATTTTTACTAAAATAAATATCCTTTAGAAAAGAGAAACTTTTATTACAATTTTCAATTCTTAAGTAAATTGTTTGTTATTGGTATATTTAAAGATGATGTTTATTATTAATGCTTTTGTCGCCCCTGTTACTCAGCAGCAAGCTTGACGGCTTATAATGCCACGTTTGGGAGTTCAGACAACTCATTAGGCAGCTTTGTGCTTAACAATAAAAATCAAACCAATAATACTGCTTTCGTGTACTATAACTTGTCCTGTACATTTTAGAACTTTCTCTGGCTTCAACTTAGAAACATTAGGTGCTACGTCACCAAATGTAGTTTGTTACCTTAATAATTTTCTTTAAATTGCTTGCATAAACAGCTTAATCAACATTTATACAAATTCACAAGTTGATTAAACAATGTTCTCTTTGATGCAGTAAGGTTTGTTGCTGGATCTTTACTAAAAATATTAAATCAGTTAAATTACATTCTCAACATTCAGTCCCTCGCTATTCGTTGATTTAACAACTTTCAAAACAAATTATTACCTGAAGCTGAAAACACCTTTCTCGAAAACGTTTTATTCTGTCTTCAGAATTTCATATCTAATATTAACTCACAATTCTTTTATTTTTTCACTTTTAATGCTCTGTATTGAATAATTCTGCCTGTGGCTAGGTTCAGCATAATTTGCCTTCCTACAGTTTTCATTACGTTGATATTCACTATTTATTTAACACTTACGTTTTATATTTCTGTCTTTATAACTTCGCATTTTAAGGCTTCTTTTAAACTACCTACATATTTATTAAAGTAGTACAAAATTTAATCCCTGGCTCACCGCATCTTTTCACACATGCGCGATTTAATTTCCGTCATCTGGCCAAGTAAAACAAACACAAACTCACAGAATTAAAATTATAATTAATACAGATAAAAAAATTAACTATTGGCTGTAATAAGCTTAACAAGAATACCCAGGTTCCACTAATAATTTAATGAGAAATTACTTGAAGCGGAAACAAAACCAGATTACATTTCCTATTATGACTAAAACCTTTGGCGAATTACCAGATAAACTCGTTTTTGTGCTGCGTAGAGAACGAATCAGAGAAGAAACTTAAAAAAAGTAACACCACTCCGCCAAAAGAAACCTCAGAAACTAGTAATCATCATTGTAAAAGTCAAATATAATAGATTAGATTAAATAATCTAACTTACACAAATTTTAACTAGAATAGTTGTTATTAAACTTTCATTTTTATCCCTAATTTTAGTTTTGCTTTCAACAAACAGGATGTAAACTATGTATATATTAATCTTTAATTTTACTACGAAAAGTAGCATATTTGTTGGAAAAATTGGCTAGTGTAAAGACATCAAAAATTCATGTCTATAGTAGTGTATATTTACAATAATCAAGTTTATTATAATAAATTAGAAAGTACTCTTATCACCACAGGGAGATTATTCACGAAACTATGTTTAGTTTAAGAAACAATTTTGAATACTGTAGCGTAATTCCATAATTTGTAAATTCTCAGCCAATTAGGCCTACACTAGTATTTGATAGACATTACCATCTCCTTCGGAAACAACTTGGTGAACTAATTGTTCTGAACTAATATTAAAACAAAGACGATACATTGTGTACAAATCAAACAAATATCTCGTTAGCAATTTTATTCTGTCTGTTTTTAAAATCTTTTTACAAAACATTTTGTGAAAATGAACTAGCTTAAATGTTTGAAAGAAAGAAAAGGTGTCCTTCCTAAAATAGCTTTTTTAAAAAAAGAAGTAAATCAAATGATTTATGGAGATTTATAAACATAATATATGAAAGTAAAAAAATTAAGAATAAATGTAACAAACGTGTCAAAAGCTACTAAATAATAAAACAGTTCACTTTACCCAATAAGTGCCAAAAAGTATTAAAAGCAAAGAAAATAGTATTAAAAGAACTAGTGATTAATTGCAAGGTGTATATCAAAAAGGAAAAAAAAACAAATTAAGAAGATGTATCGCAAATATATTTAAGTAGTTAGGGTAGGACTTAAAGGCACAGTGGTATGTCTGCGGACTAAAATTGTTAGAAACCGTGGTGGTCAGAGCACAGATAGCCCTTTGTGTAGCTTTGTGCTTAATAACAAACAAGGACTTAAAGTTAAATTAAGAAGACAAAAAAGAGACACGTACAGAATGAGGTTTTAATATTTGAATATTTCAAAAGAATTTCAAAACTTGTAATTAATTGGACGAAGCTTTTCTACTTAAAATTATATGCATAATTATAATAGAACGTGCAATATGGTAAAACAATTTTGCTTATTTTTAGCCATCAGTAATATTTGAAATAAAATTAATGGAGATTAGAACATAAACAAGAGAAAGTCCTCAATAGCTGTGACACTTGAAATTCTTTTAGGCAGGATTAGAGTAAATCAATCTATGAAACTTTTTTTCCTTTGTATTAGCTATACTTTTGTGCTCTAGCAACATCAAACGTGGGGTGCACCTATACCAGATTCAATTTTATTACTCATCAGGATCTCTACCAGCTTACCTTCAAATTGAAATTATTTTTGGCAGGATTAAAGTACATTAATCTATGAGACCTTGGGTGTGGTTAAATACATCAATTGAAAGGGTTTGACCCTCTGAGTCCAAAACTGCAATTAGATCTTAAATCGGCCAAGTGATGATGGAGTTATGAGCTAAAAGTTTGTATTTGAAAACAACAACAACAACAAAATTCAGAGCCGTTCTATGAGCCACTATGCCGCGACTAAAAATAGCTGTATGCAGCAACCTGATACCTTTATGTAAATTCCACGTTTTCATTACAAATGTGTCTCAATATCAAAAAGATGTCATTAGGGACGTAAGCTAAACCAGAAACTTTCTTATATAATCCGAAATAATAAATATTTAGAATAAGTTTTAAAAAACAAAGGAAAATAGCATATGTATAGAGTATAGGAGTTTTCTAGAAAAAAAATGGAATTTAACTCTATACTGGATTCATTTTGTGAGAAATTAGATCCGGCACTAATGAGTTCTGAGTAATTTGAGAGTGGAGTGAGAACGGATATTCTCGTCATAGAAAATAATGGAACTAAAGAAAAATTCAAGTACATTCACCATTTAAATATGTTAGCAAACCGAATATTTCGCATTCAATATTCCAGTTTTATTACTATTGTTAATACAAATGAAAAAAATATTAAATAATTGTCATATAATAAATTTTAAAAACATGCTCTAGAAATTCAACAAGAGTATTGTTTAACGAATAAGAAACAAAACATTTACCCCAATACTACCCATTAAACTCCCTTGAAAGACAATATTATTTAAACTCTTAAGTACAGTTTCGTTTCTGCTCCCTCTCCTATCACTCGAGTGTAATTATTTTATGATTATGAATTTAGATTAAGCCAAATCTTCAGTAAAAATATTGACATATAATAGTGATAATATTTTTATTTCAATCTCGAATATAACCATCTTTATTTAATGAATTAATTAGAAATAAATTGATATTTTTTTAAATGTAGAAAAGACAGTTATACAAAGATATATATTTTGGTACCTATTTATCAACAAATCAAATAATAATCAAGGAAAATTAAAAACAAAAAATGTATACACACAAGTTTGTTCCGTAGCTTAATTAAGATTGTTTTTATCATCCTTATTGTTGACTAGCTTAAATAACTTCCTTGTAGAAACAATGAAATTATTTTACTTATCTTTTTCCTTTGAAATAATTAGATGCTTTGTTTGTTATTAAGTGAAAATGCTGCACAATGGGCTCTGCTCACTGCGGTACTGAAAACCGATTCTTTGCATTAGAAGCTTTTATGACTTCCTCTGAGCCACCGTAGGGCCAAAATAATTAGATATCACCAACATTTTATGCTGAACAGATAAATATTTTATGCTCACGATGATCTACAACTCCATTTCTTCTTTTCCCAAGGTGAGTTAGACGTTAAATTATTCATTACATATACACATAGAAATAAAATAGTAGCTCACCCATCATCTTCTGGAGGCGGTGGTAAGTCTTTATCAAATCCTGTCTTTCCACACAACCAGTACGTGGGTTGTTTTCCTTTGCCCTGAATTATCATTACAAAGACAAAACCAAAAATGAAACTTTCTATGTTTTGATCAAAAGCATTTTCACAACAATAATTTTAAAATACAGTCTATCCAACGACACAGCCATCCGCGGGTCTATTTATGTACGGAAAAGTTAAACAACTCACATATCTACGAAATGGTTTATTTCATATGTATGAATTCATTCAAACATACCACGTTCAACTTAAGTTTTTACTATGAAAACAAGAATGTAATTAGCATTTTACATACGTATTACTCCTACATTTCCCAAGATAACTACCTACTCTACCTTGACTATCTTAGTAAATTATTCATTCCAAGATTTTCCTAAGCTTAATATGCTACGTAATGTTTGCATAGATGTTTCATATATTTTGAAGCAGAATTTTACAAAGAAGAAGTATAAGCCTTATACGATGAAAAAAAAATCACGTATCATTCTCGTTGCCGTCTTTCTAATACAGGGCAGAATCAACTAAGCATGCCTAGGGGAAAAAAATCGTGAGAGCTATATCAAACCTTAAATCCATTAATATTAAGTTTTCAGCATAAGAAATACGAGACAGCTTAAAGAGCAGAAGGATGTGTTGCAAATTTCTCTAAAAAATTGGATTAATCAACAAAATTTGCTTGGAGCTGTTAGGGTTGAAAACTTAATAATCATATGGAAAACGTCAGCTCATTTGTGCTTTTGGGGCTAACCCTCTGGGAAGAGAAGACGAGGGAGTTCTCATTCTTTTTTTTTTTGAAGTTATATCCTGAATATATATCAAGCTCTTTAGATACATAACCTAGAAAGTAATGGGTTTTCTCCACCAGAAGTGAGTTTCAACTTCATAAACTTCCTACGTTAGATAAAGTTCTGAATCAAAATAACCCGAATTCAGATATTGCCACTCATACGAATTAAATATAGTTATTATCTGACTAGAAATGTCCCGGCATTAAAAGTATTTCTGGATCGATGCTAACTCTATTTATGACTTCGTAAACAATCAGCATTTATTCAGTGTAAACATGAAAATTACTCATAAACAAATCAAGAACTTTATTTTTTCCTAATTTCCGCAAAACCACACATTAAGTGGAAAGTGTAGAATTAAAAGATTTATTATCATTCTGTTGCCATTTATTAACCAAAAACGTATCTAAGATTAAAGAGGCTAAAAGAAGGACAGTGTTGAAATAGATATATATGACTGACGTTTTTAAATCTACTCATCGTTAGGCTATAAAGAGTTTGTTTCAGATATTACGTGTAAAATAACACAAAATGCTATCTGCGCAAAGTCTTCCTAAGTTTGAATGATAGACTAGAGGGAAATAACAGCACCATAGCCAATTCTTTGGCTACTCTTGTGAGACTGAATAGTGGGATTTGACCATTACCCCAAAGTGTCGAGTTGGCAGTGAGTGCTGTTGTGTAGCTGTCTTCCTTCAAAACCAGGGACGACATTGCGCAGAAATTCCTTGTGCATCTTTACGCAAAATTTTGAAACAAACTTTGATATTTTTAAGGTTGGAATATTTAAGTTCCAGATTAATAAAAAAAAATCAGTTAGACGGTTTTATTATTACTTCACCATTACAACCTTTTTAATGACAATAGATGGCACCTGTATCATAAAGTGATGAGTTACTTAAGCCTACTCTATTAATTCTGTAAGTACAGTAGCCACTGAAATACTGTCTTTACACATAAGAGGATTACTCGTAATTCTGCAGGTTGCTTACTGTGCTGATAAGGAGAATTTTGACATTTTCCAAAATAAGAACTTTACCTTCAATATGATTTCTCCTCTATGTTGGATGATATAGCCTCCCGCATGGCGGAGCTTCTTCTCTGTAGTCTTGCTGATATGCACACGATAAGCTGAAGAAAGACAGATTTAATAATAGGCTAAGTGTTTTCCAAATCCAGAACATACAACGGCTTGTATCTATTAACTAATCAAAATCGAGACCAAAAGTAAAGAAAAATCGACTGACAATGTTGAAATATACATATTTTTGTGTACCTTATTCCTAAGCGAATCATTTGGCATTTCTAAAATACGCAAGCTTTTGTTTGACTCATTCCTTAAATCAAGCAACTCACAATTCTATTGTGTGACTCGTGCATCAGACAAATAAACTCACATTTATGAAGTATCTGCGTTTTTGCTTGTCAGATTTTTTTAAGAAATCGACCCACACGAAGAATACATTTATGAAGTATACGAACTTTTCCGTGACCCATTCCTCACATAAGTCGACTCATATTTATGAACTATACGAACTTTTCCGTGAACTATTCCTCAGATAAATTGACTCACATGTATGAACTATACGAACTTTTCCGTGAACTATTTCTCAGATAAATCGACTTATATTTGTGAAGTATTCAAACTTTTCCGGGACCCATTCCTCACATAAATTGACTCACATGTATGAACTATACGAACTTTTCCGTGAACTATTCCTCAGATAAATCGACTTATATTTGTGAAGTATTCAAACTTTTCCGGGACCCATTCCTCAGATAAACTGACTCACATTTATGAAGTATAAGAACTTTTCCGTGGTCATTCCTAAAACCCTCCCCAGTGGCTCAGCGGTAAGTTGGAGAACTTATAATGCTGAAAATCATGTTTCGATACCCGTGGTGGGCACAACACAGATAGCCTACCCATTATGTAGCTGCGTGCTTAACAACAATATTGTTCAAATATCTCGACTCACATTTATGTAGTATAAAACTTTTTATGTCTCATTCCCCAAACAAACCAACTAACATTTACGAAGTATCCAAGTTTTGCGTGTTTGATTTCTTACTTCTAGGAATCGACCGGCATTCATAAGGAATAAAGTTTTTTGTGTCTCCTGAGTTTAAATACGTTTTACATTATCGACATAAGTTACTCTGAAAGTATCTGAAAACAACTCGAAAATATTGTGCCTCTAGCAAGTACACAGTCTGTATTTATTCATTCATTTCAATTTCCTATGCAAATACATTTGCACATATCAGGTCATTATTTATACATTCTATAAATTCTACTTGGTACTAGTTGTATTGCATGTATTACGTCTAGGTAACGCAGAAAAAAGAAGAAAACTATAGACGTTGCTACACTCTTATAAAGTACTCTGTTTGTTTCAATACAGAGAAAAAAAAACATAATCTATACTATTTCTTCCTGCTGACCTCAAAACTTATTAACTTACTCTAACTGCTAACGTTTATTAAATTCGATGAGGAATCCTTATCATTAAAAAAAATCGTCATGCATTTTGAAGATAAAG